ACCATAGCTCACAGCAAACTCAAACTCTTGGGTTTGAGCAATCCTCCTGCCTCAGCCTCTCAAGTAGCTGGGACTACAGGCACCTACCACAATGCCCAGCTAATTTTTTTCTTTTTTAGAGATGGATGTCACTCTTGCTCAGGCTGGTTTTGAACTCCTAAGCTTGGGTAATCCACCAGCCTTGGCTTCTCAGAGTGCCAGGATTACAAGTGTAAGTCACAGTACCCAGCCAAAAAAGATTAATGTCTTCCTGAAGTGCTTAATTTAGTATGATACCCCACAAGAAGAATTTAACAACCTGAAACTTTTATTTTACTTTTTCTAGCACTGATAAATTATTGCTCTTTTTACTTTCAGTGGCTATCAATGACTCAGGAGCTAAGCTTCCAAAAATTTATTGAACAATCCAACTTACAAGAAGAACTTAAATATGACTTCAATGAAAATGCGGAATTGAGACACACAGAGACACAACAGCCTTTTGTCTTTAACTATTACAAAAATGTCCTCAAGAGAAACAGCAAACGCTACCAAGCTCTTGGCCATCTGCTTGAACAATACATTTATGAGCTTTTGGAAAAAGTGTGCAAATTACAAAAAGTACATATCCCACCTGAGGCTGATGAAGAACAAAGAAGCTTCTTTTTCATGAGCGAGAGAGCATTAACAAATCATCATTCTGCTCTTCTTGTCCTTCTTCAAGACCACGGGGTCTTCGGAGCTGGTCAGTGGAGTCAGCAGGCAATAATACATCATGGTCTTCAACATGGAAGTCAGATACCATGTATTCAGATGGCATTGCAGGCGCATCATGATGTAATTGTGCTAAATCCCAATGACAACTTTATGAACCTAAATATGGCAAAAAAGTGGAACAGCCTCTTAACACAAAATATCGAGTCCTCTTCCCCCAAAATGGCTCAAACTGAGAGTTTTTTCTCTCTTCAGCATCCTCCCCAATGCTTTCCAAAAAGATACAGCAACACCCCTGAAGAACACATGGCTTACATATGGGATTACTTCATTTCAAAGACTGAAGGCAAGGATGTTGCCTTCATCGTACATGGTTATGGAGGCTTGGTTTTTATGGACTTGCTTGTCCGTAGAAAGTGGGAAGTAATGAGCAAAGTATATGCTGTTGCACTTATTGACTCTGAACATCACGTAGGACACCAGCTGGGAAGTGATGTACAATTATTAGCTTGGGTAAAGCACCACTGCCGTGAATGGGTAACAAGTCCTAAGCCTTTGGATAAGCCTGCAGCTTCTGTTTTGAAAAATCAGTTTCCTATGGTTTCTGCTGGCACAGAAAAATACCACTTAGCTCCTTCCTCTAGCCTTCAGTCAATTTTTAAATATTTACAAAAAGCCTTGAAAGCCAAAACAACTATTAATTTTTCACGAATGCCAATAGTAACTAGAAGCTCCACAAAAAAAAAGCAAAGTGCCTAACCTACTTTGTCATCTAAGATTTTTTATTTGTCTCCCTGAAACTTTGCTGATACAGATGCCAGCTAATAGTAGGTATTAGGGACAAAGTAGTAAACAAAGCCAACATTGTTTTTATCTTTACAGAGTTTGCAATGAAAAAAAAAATTAGCTGGCACATAGTAGGCAGTCAAATATTAATTGAATAAATGAGTGATCACACATAGACCAACATATTTAAATGAAAGGATATAAAGTATTAAATTAGCTAATGATACTTAAATTTTATGTGCACTAGGGTAATCACTACTACTGTCTGTCTCTGGAACTTTCTCATCATCCTATACTGAAACTCTAAATCCATTAAAAAATAATTATCCATTCCCCTTTTCCCCAGCTCCTGGTAACCATTATTCCACTTGCTGTGTCTGTACTATTCTAGGCACCTCATAAAGGTAGAAGCAGCATATAATATTTGCCTCCTAGTGTCTTCCTTATTTCACTTAGTATAATGCCTCCAAAGTTTATTCATGTTGTAGCTAGTACATATCAGAAACGCATCCCTTTTTATGACAGGATGATATTCCATTGTAGGCATATATAATATATCCATTTATCTGTTCATGAATATTTGGACTGCTTCTGTCTTTTGTTTATTGTCAGTAACACTGCAAAGAACATTAAAGTACAATTATATGTCCTCGCTTTCAATTTCTTTAGGTATATAACTACGAGCAGTATGTTGATATGTTAATTCTATATTTGCTTTTTGAAGAACCATTAAACTGTTTTTCATAGTAGCTGCACCATTTTATGTTCCTACCAGCAATGCATAGGGTCTCATTTTCTCCACATCTTTGTTAACGTTTACAATTTGGGGGGGGGTGCTGTTTGTTGTTATTTTCATTTTGATAATAGCCATCCAAAGGGATTTGAGGCTCGGCACCTGTGGCTCAAGTGGCTAAGGTGCCAGCCACATACACTTAAGGTGGCAGGTTCGAATCCAGCCCAGGCCCGCCAAACAACAATGATAGCTGCAACAACAACAACAACAAAATAGCCAGGCATTGTGGCAGCCACCTGTGATCCCAGCTACTTGGGAGGCAGAGGCAGGAGATTCGCTTGAGCCCAGGAATTGGAGGTTGCTGTGAGCTGTGATGCCACAATACTCTACCCAGGAGGACAGCTTAAGGCTCTGTCTCAAAAAAAACCCCAAACAAACAAAAAAGGGATTTGAAGTGGTATCTCATACCTCATTGTGATTTTTATTTGTATTTTCATAATGACTAATGATGTTAAACAGGTTTTTATGTGCTTATTAGCCATTTGTATACCTTCTTTGGAGAAATGTTTGAGTTTTTGTTGTTGAGGTATAAGAGGTCTTTATTTATTATGGATATTAGTTTCTTTTTTTTTTTATATTAGTTTCTTAACAGTTACATGATTTGTAAGTATTTTCTCCTATTTTGTGGGTTGCTTTTTTACTCTGTTAACAGTGTCCTTTTATGCACAAAAGTTTATTTTATAAAGTCCAATTAATTTTTTTCTGTGGTCACTTATGTTTTTGATGTCATATTCATGAAATCTACCCCAAAAGTCATGAAGGTTTTCCCTTATATTGAAGTTTTTGCTTTTTTTTTTTTTTTTTTTTCCAGTTTTTGGCCAGGGCCAGGTTTGAACCCACCACCTCCGGTATATGGGGCCAGTGCCCTACTCATTGAGCCTGCTTTTTTTTTTTTTTTTCAATTACTAAACGTTTAAAATATATTTCTAAACAGAATGGGTCTGCTCTTTTTTTTTTTAAGACAGAGTCTCACTTTGTCACCCTAGGTAGAGTGCTGTGGCAACCTCAAACTCTTGGGCTCAAGTGATTCTCAGGCCTCAGCCTCCCAAGAGGAAATCTGGGACTACAGGCACCTGTCACAATGCCCAGCTATTTTTAGAAACGTGGGTCTCAATCCAGCTCAAGCTGGTCTCAAACCTGTGAGCTTAGGTAGTCTACCCATCGCAGCCTCCGAGAGTACTCGATTACAGGCATGAGCCACAACGCCCAGCCTTAAGTTTCTGCTCTTTTCTTTTTTAATTTCTTTTTTAACTCTAATTTTGGAGCATCAGAAAGTTTTTAGTCTTTGACTCGGTGTCCGTAATACAGTGGTTACAGTGCCAGTCACATATACCGAGGGTGGCAAGTTCAAACCCAGCCCTGGCCAACTACACAACAGTGACAACTGCAACAAAAAATAGCCTGGCATTGTGGCAAACTCCTTTAGTCCCAGCTACATGGGAGGCTGAGGCAAGAGAATCACTTAAACCCAAGAATTTGAGGTTGCTGTAACACCACAGCACTCAACCAAGGACAACATAGTGAATCTGTCACAAAAAATAAGTTTTTGGTCGTGTGAGGTAAGGGTCCAGGTTCATTCTATGCTTCTGAATATTTGGTTTTTTCAGCATCACTTGCTGAAAATGATAGGTGTGGCAAACTTAGTTGCTCAGTTGGTGCTAAGCATGGGATGGAGAAAAGCATTTCTCTAGGACAACGTTAGGATATAAAAGTAAATTTAGGCTCGGCGCCTGAGGCTCAAGTAGCTAAGGCACCAGCCACATACACCTGAGCTGGTAGGTTCGAATCCAGCCCGGGCCCACCAAACAACGACAGCTGCAACCAAAAAATAGCCAGGCGTTATGGCAGGTGCCTGTAGTCCCACCTACTTGTGAGACTGAGGCAGAAGAATCGCTTGAGCCCAGGAGTTGGAGGTTGCTGTGAGCTGTGAT